GTTTGTTGCGTAGAAGAATGTATCATATTATTATAAGCAAACTCTGCCAATGGCAGAAGAGTTGTCCAATCATCTTGTTGGTAGTCGATAGTACACCTTAAATATTGCTCCAAGACTTGGTTTACGCGCTCTGTTTGTCCATCAGTTTGAGGATGGAAAGCTGAAGATAGCTTTATGTCCACTTTTAAAATCTTGAAAAGGGTCCTCCAAAATCTTGACACAAATTGAGTTCCCCTATCCGATATGATATCTTTAGGTAATCCATGATAGCGATAGATATTATCAATGAAAAGCTTAGCTGTTTCTTCACCTGTGATAGATTTTGTACATGGCACAAAATGTGCCATCTTGGTGAAACGATCTACTATCACAAATATAGAATCATAAGATCTTGAGCTTAGAAGATCTGAGATGAAATCCATAGAAACAGAAGACCATGGTTGTTCTGGTATAGGTAATGGCTGAAGAAGTCCGTAAGGTCGATGACAAGGAATTTTTGATCTTGAACAAATATCACATGATTGTATAAAGTCTGTGACTGACTTCCACATTTGTGGCCACCAAAAATCTCTTGATATGAGTTCCAAAGTCTTATTATATCCAAAGTGCCCTGCTGCTGGAAAGTCATGACGTGCTTGAAGAACAAGTAAACGTGCTTCTCTTTCTGGAACATATAGGCGTCCTTCAAAATATAATAGATTATTCTTGAACTCGAACTTAGAAGGATCATGAGACTTCGAAGAATTATTCTCGATATCATGAACAAGAGGGTCTGAGGACATACTGGACTGGATTTGCTTGAGAAAAGTTGAATCAACAGTCAATGTTGATTTCATTGCTCGGAGATGAAATTGCTCCGGTTTCAAGAGGACCATTCTTTGTTGCTCAAAAGCTGCATCTCCTTCTTTTGGTGCAAAATAAGAACGTCTAGATAGGGCATCGGACAAACCTTGTTGTTTTCCTGGCCGATAAGTGATAATGAACTCAAATCTTGACAAAGACATACTCCAACGAGCTTGACGACGATTCAACACGCGTGCTGACATGAAATACTCGAGGTTCTTGTGATATGTATACACAGTGACTGGACTAGAAGCGCCTTCTAGATAATGACGCCATTCTTGAAAGGAATCCACGATCGCAAGAAGTTCTTTATCGTGGATCTCATAATTGATCTCGGCTGCTGAGAATTTTCTTGAATGAAAAGCTATCGAATGAAGTTTGTCATCTAATCCCATTTGTCATAAAACTGCACCCAAGGCAAAATTTGATGCATCTGTTTCCATAAAAAATGCCTTGGAAAAGTCAACACGATATAAGACTGGTGCAGAGACAAACGATGTCTTTAAGGCTTCAAATGCTGCTTCCGCTTCTTGATTCCATTGGAATTTATCTTTACTAGTCAAGCGTGTAAGTGGAGCTGCAACTCGTGAGAAATCTTTGATGAAGATCCGATAGTAATTGGCAAATCTCAAGAAACATTGGACATCTCTTACTGTCCTTGGAATCTTCCAATCCATGATTGTTTGGACTTTCTTAGAATCCATCATGAGACCATCATTTGAAATGATGTATCCTAAAAAGTCAACTTGAGTAGTGTGAAATACACACTTTTCCATCTTGGCGTACAATCCTGCATCTCTAAGTTTTTGTAATACTTGACGAACATGTATTTCATATTCTTCGATGTTCTTAGAATAGATCAAGATATCATCTAGATAGCAGACGACAAAATTGTCTAAGAATTCACGAAATACATCATTCATGAGATGTTGAAAAGCAGCTGGTGCATTCGTGAGTCCAAAGGGCATGACATTATATTCGAAATGTCCATACCTGGTTCGAAACGAAGTCTTCCTTTCATCTCCTTCTTTGATCCATACTAGATTATATGCTCCTCTTAGATCTATTTTTGTATAGATCTTAGCTTGATTCAACTGGTCAAGGAGTCCTGATATCAAAGGTAATGGATACCTGTTCTTGATTGTGATCTTGTTGAGTCCTCGATAATCAACACACATTCGTAAAGATCTATCTTTTTTCTTTATGAATAGAATTGGAGCTCCTGTTGGAGATTTTGAATGGCGTATGAAATTCTTTGCTAAATTCTCGTCAATATATGTCTTGAGTTCAGCCATCTCATCTTGCGATAAACTGTAAATTGGTCCAAATGGTGGCTGAGTTCCTTCCTTGAGGTCGATTGAATAATCATATGGGCAATGCTCAGGAAGAATATTTGCATTCTTTTTCTCAAAAACGTCTTGATACTCCTGATATTGACTTGGAATGCCACTTGAAGTCTTTACGTTTTCAGAAATAGGTGCAGCATAAATAGCAAAAGTTGATCCTTCTTTTGCTGCGTGTATAAATGCTTTTGCACCTATCGGTACGGGTTTTACTATACTAGACTTATAATTTTTTAATTAGTTGGTAGAACTATTAATAACGCTCTGGGAAAAGTCAAGTTTACGCGAATTCTAATCTATTTGAGGGTTATATTTTTCTAGCTAGGATAAACCTAAAATAACTGGATTGGATGGGGATTTAATTATGTTAAAAGCTATGTAGCTATCATGACCGTCTATTGTTACTTTTATAGGATGAGTTTCATGAGTGACATCTCCAGAAGACAAGGGACGACCATCTATGACTTCTACTTGTACTGGTTTAGGTTTCTGTACAAAAGGTATTTTACGATTTTTAATAAATTGTTCATCTAAAAAACATGCTGAGGCTCTAGAATCTAATAAAGCAGAGGCTTTGTAATTCTTAGGTCCTAAATATAAGTCTATTATAAAACAAGGAGACGGTTCTGAGGAGAGGATAGGACCTTCATTAGGAATTGTATAAGGTTCCACCTGCATGGTCCCTATTGTAGCTGGACGAATCCATTTTCCGACATGTTGTTTTCTTTGACCGTCGTACCCCTCATTTTATAGTTGCATCGTTTCTTTGGACAATGTTGAGCAGTGTGCTTAGGTTCTCCGCAATATAAACATAATCCTTCTTGACGACGACGAATCTTTTCTTGCTCAGTTAGGGGTTTAAACCGTACCGCGTCAATTTGCATGTCTTCTACTTCCGAATGTAGATGAATAAATTGAAAGAATATTTTCACATGAAAGACTTAAATAGAAGTAATAGTCAAGAAAGAGGAACAAGTGAATGTCCACCACTTCAAAATTTCTCTCCATTAGAAACAATTCACTAATGCCCATATTGTGCCACCTCAACTTTGTTTCACTAACATCAATCTATAACTTGCTTTTAGGACCAAAAGCTCAAAATTTACACAAATTTGGGATGAAGAATAGAAGGTGAAGACATGGGATGGGCAATGAGAATGTGGCTAGGAATGGAAAGAATATGGATGTGGGATAGGTACTAAGAACATAGGCCAAGAATTTAGGGAACACAATTTAGAAATGAGAAGATATAATGATGGTTTAGATAGATGCATCAATTTAAGAAAAGAATTGGGTCTATTTAATATTCTCTTATATATATATATATATATATATACACACAAGCTATTTTTTTATACTTAAATAAATAAATAAGAATAAAATATTTATTATTAAATATATTTATTTCAAAATAATTTTTAAACTTATTTTTTATAAATTTAATTTCTTCTAATACTATTTTTATAATAAAATATATTTAAAAAATATTAAATAAATATTTGATATACTTCAAAAAAAATCAAAATATTTTTCTTGAATATGAATTTTTTTAATGATTCTCATGAAATAACATAATTATATAGTTGTGGTTAACATTTAAAAAACTATCTTTCAATAAATGAAATTGTGAGAAACTTGAAATTGTTTTATGTATTGGTAGCCAAGCTAACAAAAACATTGAATGACAATTTTGTTAAGTAGATCAAAGTAAAATTTAAGGTAAAATTTAAAGTAGGTTTATATATATATATATATATATATATATATATAACAAAAGATTTATCGACTTTTGTTGTTTAAATATTTTTTTGAATTGATTTACATATTACAGAAAATAAAAAAGTCAAAATAAATTCCAAAAAAAATGAAACTGCTAATAAAAATGAAATCAAAATGAATTGGTTGATTTCAAATATAATCAGAACCATTACTTTTTAGATAGTCATTTTTTTGGATAAAGTGATAATAAAAATCACATGAGGCTAATGAATGGAAATTTTATTGCTTAATAATTTTGCATCCAAAATTTAATAAGAAGTTCATTTTATGATTTTAAAAAATTTATTCTTGAAGACATAAAAAATTTAATTCATAGGAGTTTTTATTTTTTATTTTTTATGAATAAAATAATTAATAATAAAATTATGCATGAAATATTAATTATGTGTATTACATTAAGACATTTACTCCTAATATTTTTTTTGAATGTTACAAATGTACATAATTTCAAAAGGAAAAATCACATTGAAAATAATCAATAAAAAAGGTAAAATAAAAGAAATATAGAGCTATATTAAATAATTTAACATTTTTTAATTAGAAAATATAGAACATATTTTAAAACTTGAGTGGTTAATTTATATCATTTATATATATTTTTGATTTTTAATTAATATTTAAAAAATTAAAAAATTAAAACTAATATGTTCAATATATTTTATTGTAAGAATCTACTACATCGATAAGTCAATGAACACATTTGAAATTTGGTATAATTAGTACCTCATAAAAAAAGAATTATTCATAGAGATTCTCTAACATTATATTATAAATGAGTTCCATAATGTATAGAGTGAATATTTACCAACTCACAATTCTAACAGACCACATTTTTATTCGAATGTAATCGACGTGCCTCTTCGCGAAACTACCATTCAGTGATGGATAGAAATAGCGAAACGATCTGGAGAAAGTTCATCCGAGTAAAGTTAAAAGGAAAGTAAAGGAAATTAAAAGGCTGAGCAAGGAAGACACGGATAAGCACGATGAAGGCGCACCAGATGTCCTTGGGGGGGGGGGGGAGTGGGGGGGGTTGGGAAGGGTCTCGATGGTCGAGTTGTTCATTGCGAGACCGCGGATACAAGACTAGTGATTCAGGATGGATTCAATCTCCACTCTCGGGTGAAGAAGCTGTTCCCCTCTGCACAGGGTTGCAGCGTCTCACTCTGCTCTGTGTTGGGTCTCCGGAGTTGTTCACATTTTTGTAGGGTTTTGTGAGAACCAGCACAATTTGCACTTGTTTGGATTGGGTTTTAGTTGCCGTGTTGCGATTGTTGTTGTTGTAGTTGAAGTAGTAGTAGTTGCAGCAGAGCGGCGCAGGACTTCGAGGGGGATTTGTTAGCAGGCTGAGGAGATTGTAAGTTGGGTTCAGGATTGTTGTTAGTGAATTAGGGTTTTGGATTAGTGAGCAGTTCGATGGCGCCGATGCGCTTGTCTGCGCCCGGTTGCGCTGCATCTTCTGTGTCGACTTCGATGAGAGCGGTGGGATGCGTAGGCAGCCATCGGGTACCGCAGCCTTCGGGCAATTCGGGAACTAACGTTGCTGCAACGTTAAATCATCGGTAGGATTCCTTGGGATGTGATTAATCGGGAGCTGTTTCTCGTATGCCCGGTCTCTTCTTGTTATTTGTTTCTCTGTTTTTTCGATTTTCAGTGCCTTTGATTCACCCATTTTTGTTTCCCTTGCAGACATTCTGTCTCTTCAGGGAATCCTAAGAAATCCAGCACTGCTTTTGCCTCCGTCACGGTTTGCCCAAGGAGAACCAAGTACTTTGCTTCGTTATTAACTACCGCTGCTATGGTGGGTTTCACGAAACGTTAAAATCTCGTGTGTTTCATGTTATTGGTTAGAAGCCAGAAAAATTGTTGAACGCGTGTATGAATTCCCGTGAACAAAGGTGTTCTGCCACTGCCTTGATGTTAGAATTTTCGTAAGAGACGAATATGAATGTCGCTGTGGGAATGATCAAAATCATCCTTTTCATCATGCAGGTAACATGTCAAGCAGAGAATCAAGCTGTTCAGAATAAGCAGAAGGTCGTTAGCAAAGCTCCATCAGGATGTAAGTTGACCAATTATTCTTTCTCAAAACTAGATTAGAAAGACAGTATTTTACCTTTCACCACCTACTTTCATTGTTGTTGCTTTCTAGTCTGTATTCATCTTTGGGAGCAAGAAAGCAGTTCAATGCAGATAGCTGCGAGTCTTATTCCAATTAATATAGTCTTTGCCCATGGAAACGTCCACATGGCAGACAATGAATTAGAGCATGGTGAACTGGTGTTCCAGATTATGTTGCTCTTGCTATCAACTAACACTGGGGTAAGGTTGCAGAGTAAGTTTCTTCAATCAATTAATCTTAAAATGTTGTTTGTTGAACAGCCAAGGAGAAGTCTTTTACCCCAGATCTTGATGATGGTGGCATCGGAGGCGGACCAGGAGGCGGTGATGGTGGCGGCGGTGGTGGGGGTGGAGGTGGCGGTGGAGGTGGTGGTTTCTTGTTTTGGGGATTGCTAATGCTTCTAGGACTCATAAGGGACAACGAGCAGGACAAGCCTTACAGAGGACGCAAACCAAACAAGAAGGCGTTAGCAAATAAAAAGCGGTCTCAAATGCAGCAGGTGTGATTTACCCTTGGACTTCTGCACTACATCTCAACAAGTCTTCGAAATATAGTTTGATGTGAGTTTCACAGCTTCGTAAAGGAGCTGGTGACAAAGCTTACGTAGGGGAAACGTGCTGTCACCTCTTACTCATTTGTTTACGAGCTGCCTCAGTTTTATTCCTGTGAGACCTATTATTTCTTGGTACAAGTTTCGGGTAGCTTTCTGGAATGTTTTCAGGAATTGATAGACAACTTATGGAGTTTTGAGTGGATGAGATATGCATTTCATGAAACCAGAGTTTCATATCTCTGTCAGCAAGAACTGCCAACCTTTTAAACGGTTTATATGCGGTCTGCGCCACATTGTATATTACGATCTTGGACTTCATAAATCGTGTGAGTAGTTGCGACAGAAATATTAATCTCATCTCTATACTTGTTACGGTTGATGGGGTTACTTCTCCCTGAAAGATGTATCTGGCCGTGTCGAGTGCATGTCTGGTGACTATCCGGCACTTCGTGCTGTTGAGTAGTATGATATATGCGCACATGAGATTTGCCTTCGCAAAGCATGCTTGTGGAAGTCCTTGTGAGTTCACATGTAACATAATTGAGCTCTCAGAAGTTTCAATACCCTTCACTCTGATGTAGAGCCGAGATATTTTTAATCGGCTGCTCTCATGCGTGATGTGATTGGGCAGTATCTAAGGTTGTTGTTGGGGTCGCTAAAAATTATTTTAATGCTCCAGGTTAACATTTATTTTTGCGGTTTCTCTTTGGTGCAAACAGAGAGTCTATTGCCGCGTATTGTAACCGCCCAACCTCTGACTTTTGAACAGAAGAATTGAGCGTACCAGAACGGAATTAAGGACCTGACAGTTTTTGAGCTCTGTGTTGTTCCTTCTTACCTTGTTTCCATGTGTGAGATCTGCGAATTGAGAAGTCGACATTAAGTTTTTTTAATATGTAGTTGTTTTTGCAAGTCTGAAAACTAATAGTTATTCAAACATAGGCATGACTTGTGAAGATGCAATTTAGTTTAGCGTGTCATTGATTGTAAACATTGTAACAAGGACTTACTGATATGTACGAGTTTTTCAGGATATGTGTAACTGACATTAGGAATATGTTGATGAAGAACAAATATACTTGGTGAAGCACTGCCGTTGATTATTTGCAGTTGCCAGATTGGTTGATAGTCGGGGCATAGTTGTAGTATATAAATTATTTTATATTTACAACCTGAAAAGTGTTATTCAAGTGCTACAAATTAATATTGATGTTATTAAATTATATATTATGGCACAAGGATTAAGAAATAAAGGTTAACTAAAGGTTAATTTGAGTGATTGAAAGAAAAATAGTGGTTGGATTGTTGATGGTAGTAGTATTATTAAATACATACAATTCAAAATTTCATTTAACTTTAATGTTAACTTTAATGTTAGATAGTATAAATTAAATATAGCATTTTTAATTTATACAATTTTGTATATTTATTTTTTAACACAAAAAATGATTTATTAGATGCATTTTGCAAATAGTTTGTTGTACTTTTACCACTTCATTTATGTATTTTGCTATCCATGATTTGTTCCATCTCTTGAGCAAAGGTAGTTTCATGTTTTGGATGTTTTGCCACTTTTTTTTTCTTTTTTTTCTTTTCTTTTTTTTACGAATTTTCAACAAATTTGTCCATATTCAATTAAACCTTTCTAAACCAGGTTTTAAGTACAGAGTTTATTCCATACTTCAATTTCGAAAAAATAATTATTTTTCATAATTCAAATAATCTATAGATAAATTTCTTTTAATAAACACCATATCTTACTAAAATATTTGAAATTAGAGGGCAAAATGGCTTGCTTCCAAATAAAGGATTTTTGAGGATTCTATTTCCAAGAATTTAATATCAATTTACATATGAAAGAAAGATAGTCCAATTTCAAATACTATGGGCTTAATGAAAATTTCAATATTTAGAGAGAATAGATTCTAGTTTTTAGAGGTGATATAAAGCACATTAGATATTAGTATTAAGACTTACTTTTTCCTTTTAAGTGTCAACCACTACACCTTTGTACCATATAAGCCATATAAACAAAGCTTCTTTAGAAGAATGGAGGTTGAGCCAAAAATTACTTCAATTAAATAAGAAATCTTGATCTAATAGTGAATTCCATTTACTTATAACTAAATTGGTATTTGAGGGAGTGCTTTAAAGTAACTTTTTATCAATTTTGGTAGATATATATCATGAGTTTTTTCTAATAACTAATATATTAACTAGATTATAGAATACTCTTTTTCTTACTAAATTTGTTTTTGGAATAATTCTAACAATGAATAAAAAAAAAAACTTGTTACTTAATTCTTATTGTCTATTAACCTATGGTTGTCTTATTTGAAAGAAAGTTTTTTTTTAAAAAATAAAAATAGAGAATTTTAGATTAAATAATATTTATTTATTTATTTAATATGTTGAGATAAGATTTTTGCTACTTGGTCAATCTTCAATTTATATAAGCTAATTCAATCATTGAATTTTGATAGAAAATTATCAATGAAAAATAACTATTTTTAAGAACTAAAAAAATAAACATGGAAGAAGTTCTTGGTAGAACTATAACAAAATAAAATTTGATTTATGGATATTGTTTCTTTTGCAATAAGAAGAGTGGTAGGCTCTTTAAAAAGATTTTTGATATGATGAAGATTGTATGAATGCATATTTATAGCTTCATGGAATTATAAATAAATATTAATTAAAAAATATTATAGATTCTACCATCAAAATCATTCCAAATTGTATAAAATGAAGTTAAATTAAGTCAAAAGAACATATTGATTTCTATCCTCATTTTTCTAATTTTTTTTCTAAGTAATCAATCTAATATTCCATTTAAGACAAGTAATTAGACATAATCATGTAATGAAGTTCTATAAGCAATTACTTTAGTAATAATCATTCTAAATTTGAAAAACTATTGATTGTTTGTTTGATCAAGTAAAATGATTCTTACCACTTATATGGACAAAAGTGCTTTAGTGGCTTCTTTTGAATCAATCATACCAAAACCACCATCTTTACAATATAACATACATGAATATTGGCATTAATTATTAAGAGAATAAGAAGAGTTAGATAGAAGTAAAAGTAACTAAATTTGATAATATATTGTAAAGAAGCTATTTAAAAGCTTTGTAAATGTAGATTTGACTTTGTAAGTGTTTGTAAGTAATTGGTAGGTTGAAAACTTGGCCAAAAAGTTAGACACATGTTATACATGTTGACCACTATTTTATAAATTAACCACATATTATACATATTGGCTACTTATAGTATAAATCAGCCATGTAACTTAAATGTAGAAAACTTGCTTTACAAGTTAGACATGTATTCCATAAGTTAGACATGTGTTAGATGATCTATAGAACATTACTATGCAATATTTTATTTAGATAGTATGTAAGGAGGTAGAAGTGTGGTCTTCTTTACTCTTCTTAATGCTTTTCTTGTGTTCTTGACTTAGTTCAAGAATGTTTTATTTCTTTGTATTTGGCAATAGCTATTAAAGTTTCTATCTTATATTTTTAAGTATCACAAGAGTGTATTGTTTCTTTAGAGTTTTGTTACGATTTATGTCTTTGACATACAACTCTTGCATTAAATCAACCATTCTTCTTTGAATCAAAGTAAAGAGATTGTATTGTCCTACAAGAAAGTTTTGACCAACAACTTAGTTTTTGAGATGGCCTTGACAAATTTGGCTTATATGGCTAAAAAAATATATAAAAATGAAGGTAAAATGTTATTATGTATAATAGCTCTATATGCCATATTTATTTTGGTAGGACATCAATATTTCAATTTAAGTGTCATTCTAATGATCAAAGGTTGATAAACATCATACATATTTTTCTAAATGACAAAAATAATAGCTAATAGTTTATCAATATTTTTATGAAACTTGTAAGCTTATCCAAATTGATTAATTCAAGCTAATTTTTTAGATTTTTTAAATAAAAAATAAAGAAATAATTTAGCATAATTAATTTTAAGACATAAAGTAACTATATATTATTTAATTATTTTTAGAAAGTAGCAAAATAATTCTTCTTTGCTTCAAATGATAATATTGACATAATTTTCATATTGGCAAAGAACTTGCTAATTAGAGCTCTAAAGAATATAAACATTTTGAAGTTGGTGATTTTTAATTATATTTTTAATAATAATATTGAATATTTGTGTAATTAACATAAAGAAGTATGGCTCTAATAGACATCATTGTTTTATACCTCTTTCTATTAGAAATTATTTTACAAAAACATTATAAATACTAACTACACCTTAGAGGCTTATTTTAATCATATGACAAAAAGAAGTATTAAAACCAATTTTTTTTAAACTTCAAATATAAAGTTAATATTTTTAGTTTTTTTTATAGGCTTTAAAAAAATATTTTATAAAAGTAGAAGAGATTTTTTTAGTTTTATAAATAACTAGCATATTTTCTAGAAAAAATCTTAAATTAAAAAATGTAGTTTGGACTAATAAATTACTTCCATAAGTACTAGTTAGAACCTATGTTAGTTGGCTTTAGCATAAATTTTATAACAAGTATTGAGTAAGGTAATGGATCTCTAATTGCCCAATATAATTTTATCATCACTTTTGTGTAGGAAAGTAATATGACCTTTGACACTGTTATATAGAAACTAGCTACTATCTAAAGTTTGGTTTATTATTGAGATTATATTATTTTCAATGATGTGCCAAAAAATTTGGAAAAATGTCATCAACTTTTGGACTTAGTACTTCGTTTTTAGCCATTTTCACAGTAATTTTTTAATTTCATACAAACTAAATGACCAAGATAAATCAATATTTATTCTCTCTATAACTTTGCATAGAATATTATTAAAAAAGATATTAGTAGTTACTACAAATTCCAAGCATCTCTATTCTAATTTATAAAGATCAAAGTAAAAATTGAAATAAATATTTTTGAGATCTTAGAGGTCTTTTTATAGCTCACCTTAAGAATTGTTGAGTTTTGTAATAAAAGGTTTAAAATGACAAATTTTGACAATTACATAGAATTCTTTGTCAATGCTAACATCTATTTGTTTCTATTTAATACAAGCACAAATTAACTTCTCTTTGTCTTGCCAATCTTCAAAGTTCTTTTATGACATCATATACACAAAAGAGCATATTCTTTACAAAATGATTTGTAAAGATGTATTAAAATTTTCATATTGCAGAAAGAAAAAAAGATCTTTATATTTGTATTGAGTCCAAATTTTGTTAATTGATTGAAAAATCTAAAGATCGTTTAAATAAAATAAAATAAAATAAATATGAATTTTGTTGATCTAAATTTTAGATTTTTGGAGTTAAAACGAAAATTCAATAATTGAGTGATATGATAGAAAGCAATCATCTCTTCTACAACATCTTGAATTTGATCAATCTATTCTAAAATAGAACTAATACAGAATCTATCTAACTTAGCAGAAACATATATTTTGTTTGTTTGTTTGTTTTTGTTTTTTTTTGTTTTTTTTTTTTGCTGTATCAGGAATAACTTAAGAGATTACCATGTTTGAAAGTTTCTACAAGAAGAAAGTAAGATATGGAAAAGGCCTCGCTGTTTTAGTTACCTATTTCCACACTCTTACTGAAGAGCATATCTGTTGTATGTTTCCTCTACATTTAGTGCGTGATTTTTCTGTTCAAGCCTTCCAATAGGCATCGTCAAATTTTTGTATCTATTTAATTGTATTTCTGATCAAGATACATGCCACATCTCATGTTGAGATTTGTTCCGATCAGTCATGCATGCTGTTGTTTATTTGATGCAGCTGAAGGGATATGAGGTTGGTTTCAATTAGTACATGACAGTCATATTTACCTGTATTGGCAAATTGTTCGTACTGCGCAGAACAACTCTCCCATAACTTATGCCTATATTACAATGAGTCTATGTGTTGCAGTGTTGTGGTTTGCGGCGATGAGTTTGCAAAAAAGGATGTAGGTCCAGCAGTATAGACAGACGTATCAAGTGGTCTGGCCTTGAACATGAATATCATATCACAATCAAAGCCCAAAAAAATTCTGTGTATTTATACAAACGAATTTTGAAACTGAAGAATAGTCTTACAACCCGAGCATGAAGAGATTCAAAGCCCACATACAAACAATTACGCCTCCATTTCTCTGCCAAGCTACGAAAGAATTGCTAAGAATGAATGTGTCAGAAAAGAATGCAAGCACCAATTGCTTCGGTGAATGGAATGATGAGACTACACAATACATTGCCGGTAGGCTCAGACTAGTAGGGTACTCCGGGAATGAGCATCTTCGCTAAATGCTTGATACTGAATGGCGTTATGTACCTAGAGCCATCGAAGAAGAGCTTGAACAATCGCTTGTTGCCCATTTCGGTGAATTGCATATCATTCCAGTACAAGGACTTACTGGGGCTCCTGCACACTTTGTGCCCGGGGGTGCCGCAGGCCACTTCGGCACCATATTTGCCAGCTCCACAGCATGCGTTCTTCACATCAGTTAGTCCTGCAGTCAATTACCCATGGTTAGCGGGGTCAGTATTGCAATATAGAGTAGAACGCTGCACTGATGAAACGTTCAGCTCGGCAGCTATGGTATGATAGGTTGCAAGGTTACCGTGCGATGCAGGAGACTTAATAATGGACAAGCCAGCGCCGTAGACGTCGGCAAAGACGAGCTGAAGACTGGCGTGTTCCATGCCCAGCTCATTGTCGGCATTGAGCACGTTCACCATATGCAAAAGCTGCCTGTTGAGCTGCCTTATTGCCGCATCCATGGATGCGCACAACCTGCGACCGTCGCTGGATTGAAATTTGGAGGCCAGGAGTACAACTTGTGGGGATTTGTGAAGCGGTCCCACGCCGAACACCACCACCTTGCGAGCGCCTTGCAGGTACAGCCTCTGGCACCCGATCACCCCAAATCCCAATCAGTGGTATACTCAAAGGATGCCAGTTGAATATCATTTAACTCACTCAGTAGCCGTTCGGAAGGGTCCACTGCCAAATAGTTTTAGGGAAAAAGTGCGACAGACTCACTTCGATCATCCTTTGATACTCGAATGCGAGGCCGTCTATGAACTTGGAAACGGTACCAGCAGTTGTGGCGTAGGCGGGCTTGGTGAAGTAGGCCAAGATGTCGGCACTGCCAAAGTTGACGTGGTAAATGGCACCACTGAGGCTAAGCATAGCCTCATCTGCTCCGAACTGGAAAATCACATCTGCGGCGTAGGTCTCGTAGGCAATGACTTGATTCTCGAATGAAATGGCATTACCCGCACCCTGTTGAGTGAAGAGGTACACCCTAATCGTTCAGCTATGAGTACTAGGTTACAGATCATAATACTGAATAAGCTGTCTACTACAAAACTGGGCATTGCGAATGGGGGAGGGCAATGGATGACTTACCATTGCAACGCTGGAGGTTCGGAATATGCCGGCACCTCCAGAGGCGTAGTTAATAGATGTTTTCTTCTGTAGATCGGTAGGGCTGGATAGTGAAGGTACTGCTAGTGACAATTTAAAAGGAACGGCTGCAATACAATGAAAAATAATTTAATAGATATTTCGAACCAGATCATTTGACGAAGAATAGATCCAATCTAGTATGCGACAATGCAGCTAGCTAAGCAGTTCCTGCAGCCTACAAGCGAAAGAGACTCGCTTTCTGCTGTTCAGCAACTGAGCTCTGAATCTTGAACTCCAAAGCCCACATTGCGCAATTTGAAACGAAATTCAGAATTAAGTTAAGCATTCGAGACCTGGCCCAAGGATTTCTACCAGGTTTCTTTGAGGTGAGGCCTTACCCTGCAAGTCGGAGAAGATTCTTCCGTCGCTGAAGCGACCAGTCGGAATGCCCTTGAAGTAGGTTATTCCATAAGGCTTGAAATTGGCTTTCGGAACATTACTGGCGATGAAGTTGTTGTTGCCGCCGTCCACGAACGTGTCCCCCAAGACGAAATACGCGGGCACTGGAAATCCTGAAGTTGTGTTCGCAGCGTTCACAGACACAGCCAAGGTGCACGACAAGAGCACCGCGGCAATCAGCACTGCTGCCATCTTCCCCATCGCACAATCTCCCCAAACTTCCAATAAGTATACCCCAATGGAACACCTGATTAACTTCTCCAAGAAGAATAGAACCGGCAACCTGCCCACATTCGCCAGTGCACGATCCAGGCACCCGCTTCTCCCCTACCAGCGGCAAAATAATTTCTGTGACTTGAAAACGAGGTCCGTGGGGGCAATCCGTCACTGCCTAATCGGGTCCACTGAAGCAACCGCTGTTTCCCAGCAATTGCCTCTGGAACCTTTGGTATGAAGGCTTGGCGGCTAGTATACACACTACAGAGCTCGAAACCAGTCCTCGCAGTTCCCCATTCCAAGCGTATGCAAGAACAAATCCATGCCTGGTCCGGCATCTAAAAAATCCCAGAAACCCGTACCACCCAGTGGACGGTATGGAGCAGGTGATCGCATGAGGTGAGGTGCGGAACCACGCTGTCTTGTGCTGGACCGCATTCAAGACACAGTTTGCTTCTTCGGCAACCGAATTGAGCATGAGGGGCCAAGGGTGGCGTCGCCTCTAGGTGGGGTCCATGCTAATAATGGATATCCAGGCTAACAGTCCAATTCTCGAGTTCACTTCAGCGAGCGTGGGCTACAGTCCACGAGGTGCTGTTGCTGCTGCTGCTGCCATAACAGGATAAATTGCGACGAGGAGCGGTGTCCCTTTGCGGGCGTCGCGGGGAGTAGGTGGTGAAGTGAGCCTCACGTCCACATTTCGGTGTTCCCGCGGTCGTGAGGCTTCGTCGTCCCCGTATCGTCAACGATCGATTCTTCGTCCCCCGTTCGTCGTATCCTTTTCGTCGTCCCTGCATCATCGTCGCTAACATTCCTCAGGTGGGAACGGGGCTCCCTCCTGCAGTGGATGAACGTTTGGATGGATGTTAGTTCCCTCCCAACCACCAAGTCATTAAACAAGTAAAACTTCTAGAGTATGCTTCTTCCTTGTGATCGTTAGATAATTTGTTTATTTATTTGGATAGAAAACTTTTTCGGTTTGGTGATAGTTAGCTGTTACATTTTGCTTCTAAGACTTACTCTTGTTGTATATATATATATATATGTATATATGTGCATGCGTGTTTGTTATCTTTGTTTGCTAATTGAGCTGGAAATGGGTGTTGATAATGAAGCGTTGGTGGATACAAATAGCGATAGATGTTCGTCCAATTTTAAACTTTTTTCCTTCTTTCTTCTTTCCTTGTTTTTTGGGGCTAAAGTCTCTATTTAAAAAGGGTGTTGAAGTTTGAATGTTGTTTGAGATGTGCTTTGGAGTTGTTGAAACCAATGGACAGTTGTTGTTATCATAAATATTTGAGTTGCTTTTGCTTGTTGGATATTATTGTGTTGTTGCATGCTTGTTAAATTATATTCACTGACTTTCCAATTTCATTATGTGTACTACCAAACCAAAAAATCAATTTTTTAGTGAGATTTACGTGTTGTTAGGCTTTGATGTCATTTATAATCTCATTGTCTCAAATTTTATTCTCAAATAATACGTTGTTATAATGTATTCATTTGTGATAATATATACACAGACATATCATTTTGAAAATCCAACAATAGGTTATTTAAAGATTTTTTGTTTGATTTTTTCATAATAAAGATAGATGATCTTGTTTAAAAGTGGAGTGCTTCTTGTGAATCAAATGAGCGAAAAATAAATAAAAATAAAAATTTAAGGATAAATGCTATATATACTGTTTTGTTTACCTACGCATGCAATATAATTTAACCTTTCAAGAATTGAATATGGACATAATCACCTATTAAGATCCAACCATGCATCATATTTTCCCACAAATAACTTAAGGTGGTCTAGTTAAGTATTTACAAATAAATAATTATTCTTGTGGGAGCATGTTTATCAAAACTTCCAATAATACATCCAGAATTTGATTTTGCTAAATTTTAAAATAAATACAAATACTTTGGAATTTCCACTCTCTTCAGACTTTCCTTTTCCTTTTTATTTTTTTTGTGATAAGCCATAATTTCCACATGACATTCAAACTGTACAGAACAAGAAAAATATTCGTGTATATATATATATATATATTCCGTATTTTGTTATATATGTAATATTTTAGAATATTTTGTCATTTAACACCACTTTTAGGAATTGCATTACTTCTAAGACTTCACATATTGCACTTAAAAAATGTTCATTCTCTTAACATGAAGTAAAGGTATTTTCTAACATCTATTCGTGTCTGTTCTGTTTTAGAAAGATAATTAAGATAAGGAACATACAATTTAGTTTTTAATGCTGGTTGCAGAAATAAATTTTTAATAAAGAAAATGACACCACACACCTTCAAACAAGCTTTGTGTCTTTGTGTCTTTGTATCTTTGTACCTTGTACCTATTATTTTAAACCTTGTTATCACACTAGATTTGTAATTTTTGGAAGAACACTTTACAAGTAAAACCAGTAAAACCATTGCAAATGTGGTGAAAAAGTTCGTAGTAATTCAAACTTGAAATATTGCAGTTGGATTACTTCGAGGTCAAAGTTGGATACATAGTTATGCATAATATATATACATATATACTTTCTCAAATTGAATGAATAACGTTTCAACTCGTTAAATTCAGACAAAATAAAATAACCCTGGTCCCAAAAATCCCCATATTTTATTGAATGGGAGAACAATAAATTGTGACTTTGTGGAGAATGTACAAGAATCTACTTTGTTGAGAATGTAGTTATCTTATGTTTACAGTCGTTATTAATAAACATGACGCACGTTGTGCAATGCGAACAACCACGACACCATCGCTTCCTGAAGGGAACGCTCGAGTACTTCCGAGAACGCGCTCCCCCACCCTTGCGCAGCCTCCACGCAATTCAAAGTCTTACTTGCACTAACCAGTGGGCCCCTTCTTTTCGCCACCTTCGCGGTGCAGGGATCGAATCCGCACAGAGACATGGTGCTGGAGTTACTGGAAGTCCAAGATTCAACTCAATGAGAGTTGAATAGGGTTCTGGATTTGAGATTCCACGGAGGGTTTTGGTTCTTCCATAGCACAACTTGCAGGATTTTGTACTGGTCAGAGTCCACACCCAGCTCACAGAAAGTGGTGGATACTCTAGTTCGGGTTCTTGGTGACACGAAATATGCTGTCCATCTTGGCGGTTTCAGATGGGAAAGTATCTCAATTTTCAATCTTTTTACCAATGATGATATTCTGAGTTTTCGTTGAGATTTTTTGACTCGGTATTCGTCGTTTTGCAACTGGTGTGTCCTGTCAATAAATTTAACCCTCGGTAGACAATCAAACTGCAGCCAGTTACAAACACAATCTCAATGGCGGCAGAATGAGGTAGAACAATTCAGCCCAATACACCCAAAAAAACAACAAATAACCTCTAAAACAAATTATGTCATTGAAAGCAGAGGGAGAGAAATCGACCACAATGGTTCGTCGTTCACAAATCCCAAAGATATGACTCGGGATTCGTCGTTTTACACCCACTGGTCCTTTCACAGGGCATGACCAAGGTTCGTTGTGGTTGTCTCATGGGTGCTGGTATTTTCCTTGTCTTCTGGGCCAACCCGGATTTTTCTTGATTTTCTGTATTCGGCGCTTGCGGACTGAGTTGGATCAATCCTGCAGAGAAGTATCGCTTTGCTGTTGTGAAGAGTATCATCCATGGTTCTCTTTCACTCACTCTCTCTCTCTCTCTTGCATGCTTTTTAATCTGGTTAGAGTGGTTCTTGAATTACAATATACTTGTCGGAACAATACATGCAAAGTGCTTCGTGAATGGAATGTGCCTCAAGAATGTTATTAATATGTCAATTCTGTGCGGATATAGTGTGTATATTCTGTGCGGATGTAGTGATATTCTAGGGGCCTTTAAAATGTGGACGGATTGTGCTGCATGTTGCGTACACGTCGCTCGGAGAATACACTACCTGCCTTGGGATGCTGGAGAAGTAGCTCCTGAACTCGTGATTTGAGAGTTTATGCAATGGTTGGGATTTTCTACAGTAAATTTGTGGCAACAATGGTTGTTCAAAGGATATGGCAGCGGCATAACCACAGTATTGCAAAGTGGATTTTAACCAATGTGACTCACGCGTCGTCATTGGGGTTTGTCGATCAAAACACGGAATTTAATGCAGGAGCGCAGAAGTCCTATGTGTGGAAAAAAGTAGAAAAAGGTGTAGGTCACGAATACGACTTTTAATTTACTGTGCCAAAACTAAATTCGACGAATTCATTTGTTATTTTCTGCCACATCCATTCATAATCCTCCAGTTGTAGAGTAGTCGCACGAATTGGTCAGTCAGAATACTATTGGCAGATATGGAACGAATAGTCATCGTTTGTATTGCAGCATTACTCATAACACTATTGGCTTGTCCGGTGTTTATTGGTTGTCGTTCTTGCTCGTAAACTGTTTCTCAGTTGATATCCCGTTTCGCGGACTCGGGCTCTATATCATTTTAAGAAGATCCTGCAGCAGTTTCGCTCAAGCTGAGCGGCAGCTGCCTTCTTTTGCGCTGAAGATCTGTCAGAGCACCCTCATGCATGACCTGTCAACTGAGACAGCACCGCTAGCGCACCTCCATGAAAATGTTCAAGTGCCACAAAAAATATCTTAAATTCTGCGCATCTGTACCAAAATGATAGAGAAGGACGAGAATATCCGAGTTGTCTTACAGGACCAGTGACTCTGATCTTGATAGGATAAGGTCATAGTACTCAAGTCACTTGCTACAGGAATCCCCACTAATCAAGAAACCATTTTCTGGAGAAAGGCGTGGAAGGATCTAGTTCCCTTCAAAATACGTCAAGCTCCTGTAAGAATTATGCTGAGTGACAAGGTTATCAAATTATCAGAGACCTTCTAGCGAAAGTCCATTTTCGGCGATTAACTTCTTTCTACTCAGATACGGTGAGGCATTGAGAGGGATTCGAATGGCAGTCAATTATGAGGAGGAGATTGGCAGCATTTGAGTGCCTTCTGAAACCAGATTCAGCTCCCTTCAAAGAGTGTAACTCAGTTTGTGGAGATGGTAGCCGCTGGTGTTTCCAAACCGCCGAGTAAAAAAGCTCTTTGCTTTCAATAAGTCCAGTGGGAAGACAAGGATGCTGTCATCTCTACATTGTCCAGCATTTCCTGCGCTCTTTCATAAATCGGCAGATCCTGGAGTTTATTCGTAGAACGTGCTAGCTGCTGAGAGTTCGTCTATCTCTGATTCTGTTTGATTCTTGCACCTTGAAATATTCTAAGATCAACGAAGCAATGCTTATGTTCGAGCCAACAGGCTTCCAGAAGGGACTCCTTGACCTTGTCATAGGATGATATCACTAGAAAACTCTGGGTGGATCTACGCCAACTGCGAACTTGGCATGGCGTTTAAGGATTCACCGCCAGTGGTTCAGAGGTGCTGTTTAGAATCTCAGTTTCCATGCGATTTTGAACATCATCAATCACTGTACCACATTCGAGAATCTTGTACGATTTCTCCAATTGCAACACAAGATAACTCCGCGTATACTGAGAGAGCTTGGTGTAATTTCCTTGCTCTAATCACGTTCTCAGTCGGCGTCTGTCGGCTCCGGTTGACGGTAGCAATTCAAGGGCAACCAAACCGTGCTCAGTAATAATCTCTGCGGAGGTATATGATGTAAATCATCATGAAACATTCGTGAATTTTCTATCTTGGTTGTTTTTTGGCTTGCATGTCAGACATACCATTATTTCATCAATGTCTGATACGCAGTTGTTAATTGAACTGGTCCAGAAAAGTATGTTTAAGACTAATATACAATTATACCGCGAACTGTTACAACTGCAATTATATATATTAAGGAAAAATCTTGTCGGCGTCTGCTTTAGTGGGCAAGTTGCAACAAATTAAACGTTTGTGTTCTTCAATTTAGAGAGAACTTTTAAGCCTTAGCAATTCACCATTAAAGAAATCTACCAGTTTGTCTGTTACGCACGCCGACATCTTCGTTGAGCATCTCACAAGAACACAAACACAGATAGACAGCAAGAGTTTGGCTGCATTCATTTACTGCAGCATCTCATTTTATTCATTTAATGCACACAGCATCGTTTTCAATTGGGGATCTCTCCATGAAGACAAACTGCGCTAAGTTAGAACAAATGGTTACGTCTAGTTGGAACAGAAAAGTTCGAAACCAGAAGCGCGAATCAACTCCTAAAACAAACAACAATGAACAGACACAATGACAGTAGGCCACCAAATCAACTTTGGCCGCAAACTTGCCTCAATCTTGTGGGCTACAGTAAGCGCAGCCGCAACAAATTTGTTCAAAATAGTAACAACCTGACGCAACTGCACTTCATAAAATATTGCTGCTACAGGTGCATTAACCAACCACATCTGCAATATCCACTGCTTGAGGAGGTTTGAAAACCATGCTCGCCGCAGCTACGGCCCCCCGTGACACCTCAAACAGGTCCATGTTTGTGGCAAACTGTCACCTAGCAGCGAGTACCACGCCGGCAACTAAGAGGACCGGCGCCTCTTACCATCCTGGTTACCATCGTTGCTGGCCGAGCAGAGCAGCTTGCAGTCTTAGAATAGCTCTGATAGGACCATTTCATCGGCACACTAGTAAAGTAGGCACCAGAAATAAACCTGTCACCCTCTGATCTCCAGTTCCAGTTCTTAGGGCCTCCGAAATTGTTTCCACCGTCGTTGATACGCTTCGTCACTTGTTTGGAGCCCTTATAGGCGTTGAATATGTTGCCCTGAGAGAGAATCGTAGGCCCTTCGCTTCCAGCTATGGCATAAATTCCCCATCCAGAAGTGTAATCGTTGTTCACAACATGGACGTTTCCGAATCGCACTCTCGGCATCCTCTGTATCAGTCCAGGACCGAAGGTATTGTAAGCCACTGTCACATACATGTTTCGATCCTCCCAGTGCTCCTTGTTGGCTCCAAGGAGCATCACTTTGTCGTGCTGAGTGAAGTAATTGTTCGTGATGGACACGCCAGAGGAGCCTCTGATCACGTCGATCAGACCGTCAGCAGCTCTGGCAAGGTAGCAGTGGTCGATCCAGATATTCTTTGAGGAGAAGATGGAGATAGCATCACCGTCGGTTCTGCCACGGCTGCCCACATGACTGGTAGAGCTCATAATCCTTGCAGGTCCTGTTGGTTTGATGTCATGGATAGCAATTCCGTGCACTATGATGTTGCTTACCCGCTGCATCGTCAAACCAGCACCTCCTGCAATGCGGACTGTCACACCACGGCCGTCGATAGTTTTGTAGCTGGTGATTAGCAGCTCATTTTTCAGGTGAATAGTCATGCTGTACGCGAAGGTGATCCAGAGGGGCCCAGGTCGGGTGACAGCGTAACGGAGGGTTCCCCTAGCAGGATTTGCGGGGTTGTCATCGCGAGAAGAGGTGACGACGTAAATCCTGCCATTCTTGCCACCGATGGCACTTCTTCCGAACCCAATTGCGCAGCTAGCAAGGCGCTGGCGGTACGATGCCCAGTTTGGATCACACCTCCAACAATCGTCGACGGGGTTTCCCGTTGAGCATGCCCCTCTGGAGCTGAAAGATGCGGCACCAAAATCCTCCCTGGAATCTCTGATAGGAACAGGAAACACAAAATCAGAGACGTTCTAAATTCACAATGTTCTCACTGATTCCTGAAAAAACAAAACCACATGAAAATCCCAAATTCGATTCAGGGACGAGCATTGAGCCTAGTAGGTGTTGGCAACTTACTGTGATGAAGAGTTGTCATCGTTCTCGATCATATCAAACCCATCAGAGTCCGCCGAAGTGGTGTTCCCAACACCATCCCCGAAGTCATTATCAGAGACCAGTGTATCATCGGTGCTTTCACCAGAGTTAGTCTCCTCTCTGGAGACGTTCAGTTGCGCATCTGACTCCAAATCACTGGTATCATAACTTGTAGAATCAGATGCCTGGCTCTCAGGCTCAGGAGCAGCAGCAATCTCATCGTCACCCCCAAAGGTAGAGTCTTCAGCAGCGAAAGCAGGTTCGTCGTCGAACGCGTTACTCTGATTCGGCTCGGTAGCGGCGAAGGAAGTATCAGGCAGCACCTGGAACTCTTCCTGTGAGAGCACACGCCCTAACGGCGCGCAGACCAGGATCAACACCACCAGGGAGACTGTCAACCTTGCCATCGTCATCTGGGCGACGAGGTGAGAGCAGCAAACTGCGCACAACAGCAGACGCAGCGTATCTAGGCAGAGACCTGAGTACTGCAACTAATGTGTTTGTACATCCTTGAGTGGGGAAGTTGAGTACTGGACGTGTAATGCTCAACTTGGAGCACAGAAGATATACTAGTCCCGAGCGCGATGTCAGCTGCAGGGCGGGGGCGTCGGAGTCCCTGGATGTGCTTGGAGCGGCATCATGATTTTCGTAACAGGCCTCCTATTCCTCCCCCAGGAATCGGACCCTGCAGGTGTGATTGCTTTCATAAGGCAGCAGCAGCGTCGGAGCAGAATCCGCTACTGGGGAAAAGCCACCCTCCCCCACTGATCAAGCCCTCTAGAATCCCAACATACCTGCTATTTAAAGCCTGGTTTAGTGCACTACTGAGGTGTGGATCAGACGGAAGATTCACCTGCTGGGTTCCTGCATGTTTTGTCCCTCTCATGTAGGTTTGCTTGCATGCAATTTAACTGTCATTTGCTCGTCAGTGATTCGTGGTTTCCTTCAAGGCTTGTGAATGGGGCGCACGTTTTCTTTATTATTTTGATGGAGGATTGCAAGGTTGTAAAATGAATTACGTGAATAGTATTGTGCAGATCACTTGGTTTAGTCAGGACTCAACCAGTATGAGAAAAGTGGTTTATTATTACCATTTGTATTGTTCATTAAATTTGTGAACTGCACTTGCTCTCGAGGTAATTTTTTAAAATATATTTTATACATCTTCCGTTTCGATTTAATCAAAGTTGTAAGTTTCATGGATATATACTTATATATATATATATATATATATATATACATATACATAAAAGTGTGTGTATTGCGATATTCAATCACATTAAATAACAACAACCAACAATTAAATACTGGATTGTAACATGGATAGTTATTATTACTATCAATATTACTTTTGATCTTTTAAAACACCCATCTGAGTTATTAGTGATTTTAAAACCACGAAACACAACAAAGCGAGACCAAAAATTAGTAACACGTTGATAGAGGCTTGTATCATGCTTACATTAAGCTTAAAAAAATAAAACAGTATCTCCCTCACAAAATATTTACATGAACGTACATACATCAGATGTGCACAATATGCGGTTATTCATTCGGTTTCATGTAAGAAACAAGATCGAATTTATTTTTATTATTATATACACATACTCATACACATACAAACAAACAATCAAGTACAATGCTGCAGTGAAGCAAGATAGGGAAAGGAAAGATACCTGCGACACAATCCCAAATCCGACAGCAAAGCTCTTCAAGCTCCCGATTCGAAGAAATGGGAGCAAGCAAGCAAACATGCAACGCAAGCAGGCCGACGGTTGAGCAGGGGGAAGGCGTCGGCAGTTGCGCGTGGCAGGGTGCGGAACTGCAGGAACTCAGCAGTTGCGTGACGCAGATCAAACAAGTGCATCGACTTCACCATCAACTGCACACAATGCACATGTGCTTGCATCGATTGCTCGTCAAAAGCACGCCAATCCCTCACTGGCTCCACCATTTTCCAATCGCACACTTCAGGAGCCCCGACAAGCCAAGGCCTTGCAACGGCGTCCAACGCGACCTCGTGGCCGAGTTCTGAGCCAGAGTCGTCAGGAGACCCGGCAGCGCGCTGAGCATTATTCGGACCCTGGCTTGATTGGGGTGCGTCACATGGTTGGGCATCAACGGAACCTTTTGTTGCAACACTCCGAGAACTTAGCCCCTAGTTTTGTGGCTTCGGCGTCCTTCGACGTGCGACTGTACGATAGTGTACATCTTTTCCTAGACTCTGGAGTCTGAATTGCAGCAAGAAATTTATCGAACCTTTTTTAGGCTTGCATAGAAAATAGAAAACGTGGAATGCTGCGAGCCATGTACAACAGTGTTCCCGTACTCTTTTCCAACTATTTATAGACACGTCTCGCTTTTGTTGGCGGCTTCTCTGGATAGTAAACCGCTAACCTAAAATTGCACATGGCATTCAAATCTCTCACTTGAATATGTGGGCTGCTAGAGTTTTGCGCCTTTGAATGCGTGTCAACGCCGCATCTGCTGTTTCGGATTTGTCATGACAGATATCAGGATCATTTTGACTTCGTAGTTTAGACATCCCATCACTGAGGATAAATCTCCTTGGCTTGGTTTGGACAACGGGCACAGTACTATTCTCCTTTTCGATGGAGTATTGTTATTTTGATCATTTTGTCTACATTTGTAAGTTTAGTATTATAGATGCATGGAATAGAGAGGAATGTTGTGTGCGTCGATTTAATCCAAACGAAGGCCCTCCATTATGCTACTGTAATCAAATATTTCCGTGCAAGGACAGAATTGGACGGCTGCGCTTCTATGATGCGAGCATCACCCTATCAATGCATGACACAGCCACCAGAGTTTTTTAACCTTTTGAGCTAAAACGGGTGTTCTCTTATTCGCAAAATTGTTGCTCAAATACCATTGCAATATCACGTCTCTCGTTTTTATTTAAACCGAAGGTTCAGACTCAGTCACCGTCACTTTCGGGATTCTTTTGTATTTTGCTACTACTTTATAAACTGAGATTGGCTATTACTTAAACTTCTAGAACCAAGTTTTCAAGGAGTACGCATCCACAAAGGCTTCATTGCTGGAACTCAATCATTGGTGAGCAGTTTGTTCAACGAAGTCACATCTTCCTCTGAATTGAAAACTCTAAGACGCGTCTTGGAGAATGATACCCACAGTACGCATGAATGTGTACGCATATGTATACAGATAAATAGATAGATAGATATACACAAACATACACACATACACATTTTGGAGGTAATTGTCAGAAATGTTTCCGGTGACAGCCTTTACAAATCATCGAGACGATGTATACTTAAGACTTTTCCAGTGAAAAGAGAAGTAGGTCGGACCGTTCGAAGAGGTTTTAATCTCTTGAGCAAGAGAACCTGGACATGTTGAAAGATGCCAAACGCTCTGTTCTGATCTTCCAAATATTCTCACCACCAGAGACTCGTATGTCCAGTGCATGCTTGTCAAGTTACATCTGACGATGCCGTCTGTGACTAGAAAACCACAATCCGATGCTTTCGCCGGCATTTAACTGCTACAGATGAATATCGAGCGCATTTGTCTGATCCACACGAACCCAACTGCAGGTTCTTCTCACATGACCTGGGTGTGATCAGCATGAGGCTACTCCCACGCCCATTTCAGCACTTGATCTGGAGATTTCACTTTCTGTTGTGATGTTTTAATGCGCTCTGCAACTGCTTCGAAACGTTTTTACAAGATGGAATAATAATGGAAAACATGGGCTTATTTTTTATTCTAATAACACACCAAGAGCTCTGATGTCTTTTGCATGTGATTTGTTGGCTTTTGAACTGGGTTGGCTGCAACCAAGTTCTTAGCTTCGGTGAGTTCCAGTCTCTGAACTTTGCTACTAATCATTCTAACTGCGTTACATTTTTCAAGAAATAAGTGAAACATGAATTATCATGGTTTCTTTTTGTATGGTGTGATTTTTAAGACACTTGAGGACATTGTCCTGCTAGTTTTTTTTACACTGTGTAACGGAGCATGTTAATTCAACTCATAACCTAGAATACACTTTGTACATGTTGGCTTGATTGTGTGGTCTACACACGCTGTTCACATGGTTGAAGTATTATATGTATGCCTGTGTGTGTGTGTATCCACATTGTATACCACCTCACTTGTATTGAAATAGTGCCTGGAGATTATGTAAAATCCTCAAAATTTATGTCATTAAGATTACAAAATACACGGGTTTCTCAACATAAGATGTGTTGATACATGATGCTGTAGGATTGTCTTGTTTTTAAGATAATCTGACGTACTAAGTACTTGTATGCTGCATTTACTTTAAAGTGAATCGTATTATTGTTGCATTATGTTAACTTTAAAGCTTGACCTTACATGTAGATGGGTTTAATTTATAATGTTATAGTTTATAAAATTAGGTGGGGTTATTTAAAAAAAAATATCATTGTTAAATTAAAAATATTGTTAATATATTGATGATAGAATGTGTATATATATTTAAAACTTTGGCTTTACTATATTATATTTTTCTATATAAATATCAATCAATTAAAATAGGATTTTATGTGTACATTTTTTAATGATAAAAAATTAAAATTTATAGAATCCATTGAAATTTTTTTAACCTTCATCTAATTTTTTTAATTCATATTTTTTCATTTATGTTTACAAATCTCTCTAACTCTTTTATAAAAAAAGTACTCAATTTCTGATTAAAAAATATATTCGATTTTTTTTTTAAAAACAATACAAAAAGAAAAATTTAAAAGTATTAATGATTAGCTATTGTTTCTCTATTAGAAAGTTAATACATTCAATCAAATTATTAATGTATAACTATAAACTAAAAAATAATAGATTACAATATAAATAATAGTTAATACAAAAAATTTAATACAAGATTATAAAAATTATATATATATATATATATATATATATATATATATATCGATATATTTGATTAAATTAAAAATTTATTTTATTTTACACTAATTATTTATTGAAAAATATTTCTTTATACTAAAATAAATAAATAAATTACAGAAAAAATTATTTTGAAGTTTTTAAAATTTATCATCTAAAAAGAATATATATATATATATATATATATATATATATTTATAGTTTAAAAAAAACTTTGTTCAAATATATAGTTAAAACATACTCTCAAGAATAGTAATTTAAATTATTGAAGTATATATTAAAAATAAAAAATATAAATAATATAAAATAATCATAATATTATTAATTAGTCAAGTGAATTTTGTGTATATACATATATATAAAATTAATCTATTTATTTACTAATTTGATCCATCTTATTGTAAGCATCATTAGAAAAATGGATCATCTTCAAAAATCATCATTAAAAATATGGCCCTCATCTCAATCCCCCTTATTTCTAATATCCAATTTTTCCACTCCTAACCTTCATCCTAATCTCCATTCCCTTCATTTCTAACCTTTGTTTCAATCCCCCTTATTCTTAGCCTTTACTCTTAGCTCCTATTATTGTATAAATAATAAATATGAAAAATATAATCATCCTGGTGATTCTTTTATTTTGTTTTTTTTCTTAACAAATTCCTGATAAAATAAATAGATATTTAAAAGGATTGTATTATTTATTTTTGCAAAATAAGAAACAATTCTAATATATTTTTTATATTACAAAGTT